GCGGAAACGACGACGACGGCCGTGGCAGGGTCGCCGTCTCCCCGCGAGGCACCCCCCCCGACGCGGCTGACGGTGCTGGAGCAGTACGTCGCGATCATGGGGGTTCGGGGGCGCTACTCCGAGGAGCTCACCCGCGCGATCGAGCGCGCCACCGGCGATCGTGGGGTCAAACTCACCACGAGCGACTCGACGTCGTTTTTGGTGAGGACGGTCAAACAAATCATGGCCACGGTCGATCCCCGTCGCCTATCCGGGGCTGAACAGGCGCTTCAGAGCGAGTTGACATGGCAAGAAAGCCCGAGCGCGGACGAGGAGGCGTTCATGAAAGTTTAACCACCCCTCAAGCGCCGCAACCCCCCGACATCGGTTAAGAAACATTCGAGTAAGCGAACACCAGGCTTGATAACAGTGGGCTCTTGCAGCACTGCTAGTCCCGGGCTTGTAAGTTTGCGGTTGTTAATTGACGTTTTTTCAAAGGGAAGTAGTAGGACCCTGCGGTTATGATTAAATTCCTACTATATTAAACTATTGATGCGGCAACGAGGCTTTCTGTTCTCTTTTAAATTCATTTTACTATCCATTAGCGAAGTGTCATTAGAAAAGTAAAAACATTTTTTTCCTTCGATCATGTTCTTTGATGCATGGCTCCGCCCTCGCCCCGACCTCGCTTCTGTGGATATACGCCGCTACGCAGAAGGGTTGGAGGCCGCTCTGAAACTCATGACGGCATCTGCGTTTAACTGCACGTTCGCCCTCATGGTGACAATTTGTGTTCTCACTTTTGTCGCATCACAGGTAACGGGCAACTTCTCATGGATGGATCGTATTTGGCCGGGCGCCCCCATCATCTTTGCATGGACGATCGTTTACTATACGATGGGAGGTGGCAATCCGCACGGCATAAAGGGGCCGTACGTTAATGTCGCGACGGTATACGCGTCGTTCATCACGCTATGGGGCGTGCGCTTGGCGTACAATTTCTATCGCCGCGGCGGCTACTGCTGTGGTGGGGAAGACTATCGATGGGATTACGTGCGTACGTGGCGGGTCCTCCGGAATCGTGTCGTCCGGGCGCTCTTCAACCTCTTCTTGGTTTCGATTTTCCAGAGCTCGCTGCTGTGGGCCATCACGCTGCCGATGCTAAGCTTCCCGGCGGATGCTTTAACGCGGAGGGACGGCATTTCCGTTGGCTTTCTCCTGTTCTTGTTGTTCTTTGAAGTGGTGTGTGATCAGCAACAGTGGAACTTTCAAAACGCTAAGCGGCGCCGCGGCGGTAAAATGGGCAACCAACGCTCACCTCCTTTGTGTGGGTTCTGCGTGACGGGTGTCTTTGGCTACAGCCGGCACTTAAATCTATTTTGTGAAGCGTTGATCTGGGTTACACTGGCGGTGGCGGCGCACAGTCGACAGGGGTCGCCAGCGCCATGGCAGTGGTGGCAGGGCGTTGGGTGTCTGATGCTGGTTCTGCTCATCTATCTCTCCGCACGCTTCATCACGGAGCGGCTTTCTCTCAAGAAGTACCCACAGTACGCGGTGTACCAACACACGACACCGATGCTCGTTCCCGCGCTACGATCTACTACTGCGCGGACACTTTATTTGATTCAAAAGACGTCGTCGCAAGGTGCCAAATCCAATAGAAAACAGCAGTGATATACATGCAGCCTGCCCCCACCCCCTCTCTCTCTCTTTTCCCCTCCCTCTTCTTATCTTGATCATTCCCTTTGTTCCGTGTGTACATGGTGAGTAGAAATGGTATTTGTCATCGCTGAAAGAAGGCTACTCTTGAAATGGATATCCTATTTTGTGTTATAACTTTGCTTTCCGATTTTCGAGTCTTCCCCAGAATATTGCGAGTAAAGTATACGTTTGAACGTTATTATTAAAAGAACTGCTTAAATTAAGCATCTACGAAAATAAAAAAATGACCGAATTTCCGCCCGGCTCACCCAGTCGACTTTGCTTCACCAATGAAGTGGACGGCTCCCAACTCACGATTTACAAGCAGGGTGCGCATGTCACGAGCTGGTGCACCCGCGACGGCGAGGAGCATCTGTACACGAGTCCCAAGGCGGTTTATAAAGACGGCAAGGCGATCCGCGGCGGCGTCCCGTTGATCTTTCCCCAGTTCTCCGACCTCGGTCCGCTCCCGGTTTCTCACGGCTTCCTTCGGGTGAGTTCGCAGTGGAACCTGCGGGGGAGTGCGCAGAAAGGAAACGTGTACGAGTTGGTGCTCGAGTACCTCTTGAAGCCAGGGCAGGAAGTCCATTTCGCAGAGGCAAACTGCAAGCTGGTTTACAGCATCACATTTACGGCCACTACCCTCCGGCTTCATATCATGGTGGAAAACATGTCCTCCGATCTTCCCCTGACGTTTGCCTTTGCCTTCCACACCTACTTCGCGGTGGCGGATGTCTCCTCGGTAAGGATCGGTGGCCTTGATGAAACCGAGTACCTCGATGATCTGCAGGATCGGAAGCGTTGCCCACCCGAGGCAGTTCATCACATAAACAGCGAAATCGATCGCATCTATTTGAATCATAATGAAAAACCCATTACGCTGCAGACGATGTTTGCAGATAATCAAAAACCGAAGCAGCTAACCATCACTGGTCATGGCTTTAAGGATGTCGTGCTGTGGAACCCATGGGTTGAGAAAACAAAAGGTATGTCTGATATGCCAGAAGATGGCTTCACGAAGTTTGTGTGCGTAGAGCACGGAACTATTATCGATAAAAATCAACTTCCCCCACTGAAAAAGTGGGAGGCGGCCCAGATGATTTCAGTTTCGAACGCCGCAGTCAAGACCCCCTCCCCTCCTCCCCCTTTCGAAGGT